CGAGCCGTATAACAACACTAGTCACAAATCAAAAATGTTCGAAATAGCTCCGGTCTCCAATTTGCCATCTATAAACAAAATCTCCAGGGTTACATAATATTATTTTGTCTAAAATCTTAATCGGGCTGTTTTTAAAAATCGACTATTAAAAAGTAACTAGCTACAAATTTAATCCTAACTTATATAAAAAGTTCAAAATTAACTAATTATACATGAATTTAAATGAAAATACAATTTATTTAATAAGGAAATTATTATAATGAAAAAAAAATACATGTCGTATTATATGAAATTCATAGGGATTCCATATCTCTGGAATTTAAATAATTTACTGAGGGCGATATTTAAATTTTAAATTGATTTGACTGGAAATGCATTTCAGCATGCATACATAGAGTACACAACCGTGAATTACATACAATTTTACTGTAAACTTTATAACTATTCATAATTTAAATTGATTTTTATATGGATTTTTCATATAACTTAAAAAAAATACAAAAGTTTATGGTAAAAACTAAATTCCTAAGGTAGACACTCTGTACATGTTACGATACATTTTCAGTGACCAAATTTAAAATTTTTATAAATCGCCCTCAGCAAATTATTTAAAATCGAAAAATTCCCAATCCCCATAGAGTCCATATCACATTACGACATATATACCATAATATAAATTTTTTTTAAATTTAGGCATAATACACGGTGTTCCAATGAAACTGATACCATTTTGTTTTAAAAAGATAATTTAATAAAATTATATAGATCGGGAGAGAAAAATAAATTATCATTTTCTCCAAATTTCGTTAAATTCTATCAACAGGGTCCAAAGTGGTATACATTCAAAGTTGGACAAACAAAATTCGAACTTTCCATCATGTAAAAATTTTTAAATATTAATTACATTTAAGAAGACGATAGTAAAAAAAAGTGGCTTTCAATAAAAATGACTTTAGTTTAATTAAATTTTAAGACCATAAAAATATTACGGAGAAAAATATTTTTAAAGGAATTTTCTAACAGACACTGGTCCACCACAGCCTTGAATCGTTGGTTGCAAAGATAGATGCTACCGGATCGGCAAAAACGGTACGGTGGTGATAGACCACACGCAGCTCGTACTATTAAAATTTTGATTCTGCTGAAGCACTCGTATTGAGCCAAGACCGACCTAACACCCACCGAACAATTCATTAGGTATCCCGAGAAACTGGTATTTCGCAAACTACAGTGCATCCGATAATCAACAAAGAGCTGCACAGAAATTTTTAAGAAAGAAACAAGCCAAAGACCTAATCGATACGAATAAGATTGCCCGTTCGGTACTCACCAAACAACTTTTATAAAAATACCCTCATTAGTTCATGTCATATGGTTTATGGATAAAAAGCTGTTTACAGTAACTCCACCAGTAAATCTGCAAATGGTAAGGTGGACGTTGCCGTTTCAATGAGAAAAAAAAACAAGTTGCATTGATTTCTTTGTACTCTTTCAAATTTCTCGAAATCGTCCACATCTTTATCGATCCAGGGGTCAGAATTAATAGTATATACTATCGTGACGTTTTCGTAAGTGGGCATTTATTGCCTGTTATTAAAGAATTGTAGAGCAGTAAATTTTTTATATTCCAGCAGGACATGCTCCAGCTCACCGAGCCAGAGAAACTGTGTCATCTTACAAGAGAAAATCCAGATTTTATTTCTCCCTATCTTTGATCCTTAATAGCCCTGATCTCAATCCGGCTGACTACAAGATATGGAGCGTCCTTTATGAACGTGTTTATCAAACCTTCAACGAGAAGTTGACCATCTCAAAAAGCAGCTTGTGAAAAAATGGAATCGTTTTGATCAACAAGTTGTGGATTGTGAATCAATGAATGGCGAAATCGCCCTAGAGCATGTATTCAAGACCGGCATTTTGCATCGACTTTGAAATACAACATTTGACTGAAAATTTTAAATGTTGATGTTTTCATGTTTTTGTCATACTAGTTTGAAAAAAATAACCTGTGATAGAATTTGATAAGATTTGCAGAAAACATTGATAATTTCTCTCAATCTATAAAAAATATCATTGATTTTTAGAATGGATAAATTTATTCCTAAAACAAAAAAGGTATCAGTTCAATTGGAACACAGTATAGATATTATTTGACCTTAACAATAAACCGTTTTCAAAATTAGTGTCTAAAAGGCTCCCTCGTTTTTCCCCAAAAATAAACCTTGCCCAGAATAAATAAACATTCTGAAAACATGACGTAAGTGAGGCATTGCATTTAATAACCAGTAATTTGAAAAATCATCATATAAAGATAATGAATGAGATATATAAACATTTAACATAGTATAAAAAGTAACCTGAAAAGTAACTAGTATGAGTTAATTTTGTTTAGCTACCGCCAACTATTTACTTGTTGTAGATAATTACGTTAGCAATATTGAACAAGAAATTAGAAGAGCGAATATTTCAAAAAAAACAACAAGATGTTTCAATAATATAAATACAGTTCATAGAAAACACTGGAGATGGCAAAAAAAAATGTTTTATTTTGAATAAAAAAATTGATGCAACCTTTTAATCCTTATTTATAATTCGATACCTTTTAAATAAAAGCAAGATTATTATTATTATTATATAACATTATAAATTATAATGAATATCAAATATATATATAATATATATATAATTTTTCTAATAAATCTTCTAAATTTAATTAGAGCTACCCAGATTTTTTATATTTTTGCATTTTTAAAGGAGATAAAATGTAAATAAAAATTTAAAGTTTTATATAATGAAAATTTAAGTGAATCTCTCTTTTTTAAAAAATATAATTCTCCCATATGGGATGGTGAGGGGGGGGGGGGTATTTTGATAAAAACAAATATTTCAAGAAAAGAAAAACCAAAATAAGTTCTTGCTCGAAATCAAAAAGTTACTGTGATTTGTAAAAATGCGCATAAACAAGCTATTTTTTTAATATTAAACATGAGGAAAGGGAGAGAGGGGGTTGGGGGTGGGGGTGGGGGTAGATATACAATTTAAAATATCTTAGAAAAAAAATTTCCTCTAATTTAAACCGATCTGTCCTATATGAATTCCTATTAGGGATTTATAATTTGAGATGAAGAGGCTAGTAAAAAAATCCAGCCCGAAAATGTGAAGATTTTTTTTAAAAAAAACTCCGGTTTGGTATATTATATAAAATTTGACATGTATATAGATAGAAATTTTACCAAATAAAATACAAACCTAATATATCAATATATTAACATTGATACAATCGGATTTTAAAATAAATAATATACTTCCGTAGGTCTCTGACAATAACTGAATCGACTAACAAAACAAAAGAGAAAATGGCGAGTTTTGAAAAAGAAAGAATAAATTTATACTAATTCTATTTTCCTCCTACCTCATTATCTTTTTTGATATAATTATGAAATTTTTTTTTACTCATTTTGAACAAAATTTTCTGTGCAGATAAATTTATCCCTTTTCCATTTCTTCCTATTTTTATAATTTCTTTGTTTTCTATTATTGATATACTTGTTTTTGGATTTGAATTAATAAAATAAATCGGCATAAGCATGCAGCCAATTCGAAGCGAAGTATACAATAAATTTTGTATACTTCATCGCGAATTCGCGTTTTGTATGTGAATACAGGGTAACGTTGCCTTTTTTAAAACAAATATAGATTGATTTTTAATTATATCTTATATACAAATTATTTCTATAAATTTTTTAGATTTATATAACATTTTAATTAGTCATATATATTTTTTTAATGTTATGAAAGCTAATTTAAAATAAAGAAAAAAGAAGCTCTTATTATATAGGGGTAATCTATTTAGAACGCGACAACTGTAATGACAAATTAAATGGGGAAAACAAAATGATATTTATCTTTGGCGATAAACTAGACCAGACATATACAAATATTAAATTCTTTTATTTTTTTATCTACGAATAATAGAGTTTTAAACTCTTATTATAATGCAATAGGGTGGATATATATTATACAAATTATGGAAAATAAAGTATGATTAAAAATCGTTCGATCTAAAAAATTTAAAATAAAATAAATCTCATTATTCTTCTTATTTTTTGTGAATTTATATTAAAATAAGAATATTTTTAAAGAATCAGACTTTAGAAAAGTTAAATGACTTAATTTATGTCCCATTTTTTTTATTTATTTTAATTTATGTATTTTATGATAATTGATAATCGTATATAAAATTTTTTTATATTTAATATAATTTTCAAAAAATTTCTAGCCTGGTCCTGCCAAAATTATTCTTAAGAGTTTAAAAAGAAAGTATTTAATTAATATAAAACTGAATTATGTAATTAAAAATAATAGTAATTATATGAAACATAACCTTAGCCATAGCCAGAATTTTTCCCAGTAGGGGAATCGTTAAATTTGATGAGCCTTAGATTGGCTTTTTACCGGCATTTGGCTGGGTTATAAACTATATAATTTTTATATGCTCCTTTCTGAAAAATTTAATTTATAGTAAAAAAATATTTATAACAATATTTAAAAAAATTAATGTTTATAATTGCTTATTTAGTTTTTTTTCTGGGAAAAATGGGTCAGAAGGGAAGTGGGTTATAGCGTAACAATTTTTATTCGATTGAAATGATATATTTAGGAAAATTTGTAAGGAGGATTCCGCTCTCTGGCTACATTATGAGCATAACAATACTCTTAGGACCCTTCTACCGCATGGAGTCAGAGGGGCGATTAGCTGTTTAAACCATTATTAGCTACCTAAAAAAATTAACTAAACCGATTTTTTGCCCGAAAATTATGATTTACCTATGGGGGTTTTCTTAAAATATAGCTGCTCATATTTGAAAGAAACTGCGCGCGCCTGTAAATTGAACAGAATTAACCGACATTTATCCAATACCCAACTATAATTATATGTAATTATACGTAAAAAGACTATCAAAATTTACTTAAGAAATTATATTTATTAATTTGCTTACCCATTGTCGATGATAGGGATGTAATTTAGCATGTCATATAGAACTTGTTTAGGACTTTTTTTGAAAGGAACGAATTAAAAATATTTTTAAATTTAGAATTCAGTTATAACAATATAGAATCCATTTTTAAGGGATCCTTTGCTTAGATCAAAAAAAATGTGTATTTGAGAAGAAAAAAAATATTTGTTTTAACACTTTAATTATAAAAATTTGGCAATGACATTCAGAAAAATGTTTTTTTTTCGAAAACAAAATAAAAGGCGACAAAAATTTACTCAAAATTGAAAAAAAACAACAAATCATTTACATGTTAACATTATAGTTTTTTTTAAAACTGTTGTATTTACACGTTAGCTATATCTGATGATCTTATATGTAATTTCTATAAAAGTATAAATAGAAAGATTACATTTATCATTTCCTTTCTCACTTTCCTCGTTGTTTATTATTTTTTTCTTGCTTTCCTCTTTCTTTTTTTCCTATCCTCCTTTCTTCCCTGCTCCTTTCTCTATTTTTTTTACTTCCTTCATTCCTTCCAGGGCTGAGCAGTATCTCGGATATTTGTATCTTAGATTATCTTGCATATTTTTAAGAATTTTTTAAAGTATCTAAGATACAAATTTTTGGAAAGTACTTTTATCTTTAACAATTTTTTAAAGATAGAAGATACTTTTTTAATTTTAATCTTTGATAATTTTACATATAATTATTTAAATTAAACATTACTTATTTTTCTCTCTATTTTATTTTAACTGAAAAAAAAACATATAAAAAACAAGATTTTTCTATTAAAGTCTTTTTTTTGACTTATCATATAAATAGATAATACACTTTAAATTAAATTTTTAACTTAATTGCAATACGCTGCATATAAACTTTTATCTTCCTTACGTTGTTGTTTGCAAACGATGATATAATATTTTTGCTAAAGAAGCTATATTATTTTCTATGGAAATTAGGGATAGGACAACTAGCCGATCCTGATATAAAATCTCAGGGGTTTTGATTAAATTAAGCTTTGAAATGCTAGGCTCAGCCGCTATTTTTTTTTATAAAACTGTGGCCTGGTCAATTTCAAAAAAATAAATTTAATTTATAATGCCCTCTGCAGGTAACTGATGAAAAAAATATAAATTAATTTTTAATATCTTAATATAATAGAATTTATAGTGCAAGGGCTTCGACTAGAAGATGATAAATTATTATTAGACAAAATTATTGGATTTTACTTTTATTATAATTTTTTTTAAAATTAAATAACGATGAAAACTTTTGTTTATTCCAGATCTCTGCTTAGCGGCTATATTTAATTATGCTTGCATATCTTTCTATTAGATATCTGTAATGCTCGATAAAAAAATTTATTTGGATCGGACCAAGCAAAAAAAATAGCGGGCAAGGGCGGAAAAAAAGTAAAGATACCAGGCCTGCTTCATAGAGAATAGAAAAAAAAATCATTCTAAAGCCTAATTTTATTAAAATAACATATTTCATTTTGCTTGTAATTTTAGTTTATGATCATTCATTCATAAATACGATTTTTTCCCTACATTTTGTGTTTATTGCTATAAGAAAATCATGCAACTTAAATCTTCACCATTATTGGCTATTTTTCCATAAGATAATTTTTGGATTCTAAAAAACCGGGTTGACCTTAGTAAAAAAATGAAAACCGAGCCGGATACATATTTGACGACCAGGCAAAAATTAAATCCCAGGGCTAGGCAGGAAAATTTTAGCATTTGCAGACCTCTAATAGCTTAAAATGTTTTATTATATTTCCTTTTTTAAATAATAGATAATTTTTTCCCCCTAATTTTTTATTCCCTGAGATGAAGTTATTTTATTCCTTAAATTTTTTTTCTCCATTTTTTTGTATAAAGTATATCTTGTATCCTTTTAAAATTAAATGTGCCCTGTATCTAATATATAATTTTTTTAATAACCTGTATAGGTATTGCTCAACCCTGATTCCTATAATATTTATATATTCGATAATTAAATAGTTATACAAATTCAAATTTTTTATCATTAAATTTAAATAGCTTTAATAGTTTATATTGTAAAGATATCAAAATAATTATATTATTTTTCAATAAAAAGTGAATTATAATTTTGAGTAATGTAAACAATAAACTTTCTAATGTTAAAACTCAAAATATGTTTTATAGGTATGGTACATAATATTCTTGACAATTATGTAATAAATTTTTTTTTAATAATTGTCAATATAATTTTTTTTTAAATATTAAAGCAAGTGACTACAGGATCTAACGTCTTTATTCAAAACAAAATAATCAAATGTTATTATAATTTAAATTTTATTGCGAATTTTTTTTCAATAAGTTTTTTAAAATGGTTAAAAAAATGATTATAATTTTCGAAAGAATTAGTTATTAAAATAAGGAATAAAAATAATATTTTTCATAACTTTATTGAAGATGGATATACACAATAAGTCCAGTCAACGTTGTGATCAGCTGATATTCAAGTTCCAATTAAATATTCACTGCAACTACGGCTGGCGATTCACCCATTTAAATATGTACCATTTACAAATAGGCGGGTGACTCAGAATATTTATTTCCACTATAAATAAATTTCCCTTTAAAATTTTATGAAAACTTTTTAAAAAATTCAGGGTTTCATTTATTTATAAAAATTTCTTATATGGAAAACCAAAAAGTCGTATCATGAACTGATTTATATTTAACACCTCTATATTTCACTGGTTTTAATTTATAAAGAAAATCGTCCAATAAAGTATCATTGTCTGGACATTCCGTTATCTCTCAAATACATTTTAATGTCCCTAAGTATACATTTTTAGTGGATAATTTTTAAAACGCAAGGCTACGCCCCATATTTTGCCTTTTAGAATTCTAAATAGCTATCTAAGAAATTTATTTTCATACTAAAAAATAGCTATACACCTCTTTGTTAAAATCTATATAATTTCTTTTTTAAATCTAAAAAAAGAGTGAATTATTATGGATTTCAAATTTTTCTTGGCGTTATATATATATACAATTTTTAAAATTTCCCACCAAATAACTTGACACTTGTTCACTGCAAAACTAAAGTAAAATATTTCAAAAAAATGACAACCATTTGATTGACATGAGAATAGTTAAGCATTATATTGGAACTTAAGGAAATTAGAGCAAATATAAATGATCAAAAGCAGAACTCAATTAATTTAATACAGGCGCTTAGCCAACGGGTAAAAGGGGGGGGGGGGAGAAGCGTAGCAAAATTTTTGAAAAAAATATAAAAGGGCTTAGGCACCTAGCCAGAGGGAGGGGGAGAAATCCCCCACCCAATAACAAGAATTTTTGTAAACTTATATAAAAGGGCCTCAAGAATTGTGATTTGCAAAGTATTCTATTTCAAATAGATTATATTTTATTCTAAATATTAGTAAAAATTTTGCTGAATAAAATTATTTCTGAGACTTCTTGTGCTACAGAAAAAAGAAACAGCAAAATGTCTGCACGACAAGATGGAGCGTTATGGCACTTATTGGATCTTGGCCCTTGGAGAAATATCAGAATCACCTGAAACACATATTTTATCTGAAGCGGATACATTATTAGATTTAATCTGCCTACTGATTTTTTTTCATTGGAATGTAATAAATTATTTATTACACAACAATTTTATAAAATATTTTTCAAAAAATAGATTTGGCTGAAGTTATGAGAATCTCGAATATTATTATTACAACTTAGAAGACCAAGATATAATATCGACCAGGAATTTCTCGAAATTTATGTGATTGTTGAGGTGAAAGCGAAATTATATGACTTTGAGATTCACAAGCCTCGACTTTACCAACAAACAAATCATTCGAAGATTAACGTGGATTCAATTGAGGGTCAATATAATAACCATTTTTATTCCACTTTTAGATATAATTTTGAATTAAATCAATGAACGATTTGTGATTTACCAATTGGCTTTATCCAATTTACAAATAAATAACTCCCTCTGGTCTGAGGATATATCCAATCTTGATATTGAAAAATTAAATATTTAGCTAAATTTTATTCAAATGATATAAATGCATCTGAAGGCCAATTAATTACAGAGTTTAAATATTGAATGAAAGATTTATTTTTGTAGATAATCCTCCAAGTAATACAGTGGAAGCATTGCATACTTTAAAATATATTTTATAAATGATTAAAATTATTATATGTTTTGGAAATGAAACCAATTAATACAAGCATAACTGAGAGGACCTTTTCTTCATTACAGAGAATAAAAACATATATCAAAAGTATGACAAATTGATTGAATAGACTAGTTTTACTCATCGAGATCTAATTACCCATACAAAACAAATCATTAAAAAATTGGCATAATCGCAAGATTAAATATTTATTTATAAACAATATGACTAACTTTTTAAATCAATAAAATGTTTAATTTTATATTTTATTGTGATTTACATACCGATTTATATAACCATAATATTTTCTAACCGTATTATATTCGCTCTTAATATTTTGTATTTTCCAATATTTTATAACTTGTATCTGAAATTATCATATTTTAAAATTTGGTTAGTTCTAATAATTTATTTTGCTCTAATAAATTTTTAATGCTCCAAAAAAAAATTATTTAAATATTAAAAAAAATTATGCCCCCTCCCCGTAGAAAATTTCTCACTACACGCTTGGTTTAATATTTTTCGCAGCAAGACAAGCCCATCGTTTTAATATCAATATAGGTTCAGTCAAAGACTACTATAAAATAAATCCCTTTATCTCCCTCTTGGATACTTTTATAACTCAAATAAATGAAAGGTTCTTGATTGATCAGGCAGCTCTTATAAATCTTCAAATATTATTACCACAGAATCCTTCCGAATCTATTTCAAATCTTTTTCCTACACACCCCTCCTCTCCACCTAGAATGTATACAATATACCATTATTAGGAAGGATTTGAAAGAAAAATTAGTAAAAGTTAATATCTATAACGGCTATAATTCATTTTTAGGAAAAAAGGGTTTTTATAAATTTTAGAAAATTCTAATATAGTCAAAGGTCTACAATAAGTGGACCTAAAGACCTTCAATAAACCATGTGGGAAAAACCCCAAGCTAATAGTACTCCCCCCCCCAGAAAAGTTCTGGACACGCCTATGGGGGAGG